GAAAGTCACAAGGGCAGTCTGTCCTGTCCTGTAGGACTGTATGAGTTGGCATCAACTTGATGGCAATGAGTCTGCTTGTGCATTTCACATTTGATAAGTCATGGCTGTTTCCAGCTGTTTAATTTCCTTTTGATTTGTGCCCTATTATCATGTGAAAGCCCCCAGAGTTATTCCAGCTAGGTCCTTAGGAGGGAGGAGCCCTTCCCAGTTGTATATTGCATGTCTTCCCAGCGAGCGGCTCAACTGCTGTTACGAGATCAGACTGTTCGGCTGCTGCTCATGAGACTCATGGGCCAACTCTCCCCTGCCCCTTCTCCGGGAGTTTCCTGTCCTGGGGGAGCTCCAGTTTTGCTGTGATGCCGGAAGCTGTGCCACCGAGTTCCAGAGATGAGCAGCATGTGAAGTGTTAGCGGAACGCCTAGAGGAATACAGACGTAGGAAGAAGGGCCTGCTGACCTATTCCTGAAAATAAATTACCCAGAGAGAAGAGAAAAAAAATTAGCCACCAGAGGGCAGTGTATGAATTAGTTTAAGTAGTGAGTAAGGTTTCACTGTCAGTTCTAAATTGTAGGGCATCCGCTCAGTCAATGGCAGTGAGTTTGGTTTGATTTGGAGGAATCATGTGCAAAGAAAATGTCAAATTATTGAATTAATTGGAGAAAGTTGCCATGCTGAATTCTTCATATGTAGTATATAACTGGAATGCTAATGTATTTTTAACTTTAATAATCAAGTACTGATTTTTCTTTAAAAGGAAATTTATTTTAAGTAGGAATTAAAAACTGATGATTTCAGGATATAAATTTCTTATGAGTGAGCTTACATGTTCAAAACTGATGTTTTTCATTATCAGTTGCATTAGTTAAGAGTGGATTCAACTATTCTTTTATCTTTTCATCTGCCCTTGAATCAAAAGTTTGATACAGCTATGCTTAATGAAAATAGGAGTTTTAAAATTCTGATTTTTAACTGTAGGTATATTTATATACTTTTAACATTAAATCATGTTAATAGGCATTGCATTTTTTACCCTTATTGGCCAATGGAGTTTTTGATCAAATAAGTTTTCTTTCATATTTGAGAAAAGATGTTTCATATCTATAGATGTTATTGTTGCTGGAGCTCATTGTAGCTTATGCTGTTTTATAACCAAATGTATTTCTGCAGAAAAATTGGCATCGATATTGCTCATTACCATACATTCCAGTGTCTGCTAGGCTGGATCGTCTCCCTACCCGTTGAGAACACCAGTGGCTTCACTTGTTTCGAATCAAACTTGTGCTCACTATAATGAGCCCCAGAGAAAGGAATGATGCCATGTAAGCATCTTACTGTGATCAGTAGGGTCTTGGGAGTGAGGGCTCACTCAGTGCCATTGGGTTGATGCTGGTCATCAGGACCCTATAAGACAGGGTAGAACTGCCCCTGTTGAGTTTTTGATACTATAACTCTTTACCAGGAGTAGAAAGCCCCATCTTTCTCCTGAGGCATGTCTGGTGGTTTTGAACTGTTGACCTTGCAGATTGCAGCCCAGTGTTTAACAACTATACCACCAAGGCTCCTCGCGAGTGAGGGCTATTGTTATCTAATCAAAAAGCTAATACTTAGTGGATTTTTTTTTTTGCTATGATTTGTAGATGTCTGAGAATAAGATTATTTCATAAAATTAAGTAAGGTAAGCATTTTAAACAATATCCCTTATCCATTAAACAAAATTATAATTTAAGAGAAAAAATACGTTAGCGTTTTTCTTCTCAATAGTTTCTCAAAAAAGAAAAGGAGTACAAGACAGTAATGCAGTTTAACAAATTTTACTTGATACCGCATTTTATGTTTACTATACAAATATGTCAGCATGAGAATTTTTAAAGTTCTTACCTTTTAGCTGCACACACACACACACACACACACACACAGAATACTGCACCATAGTTAATAGTGTACACCCTTAAGAAAGATTCAGATTTCTAGAAATCTATGTCAATGGGCCACTTTGCTGTTTTCTTTATTGAAATTAAACATAAGAATATGAAAGCCAAAGTATTTATAAAACTTTAACAACTTATCGACAAAGATGTAAATAACCTAATCAGAAAACAGGCAGCATCTTTAAAACAGACATTTCATCAAAGGGGAACCCACATGTCATCAGACACATGAAAATATGCTCAAAGCCATTAGTCCTCCTAAACCCACACGAGGCTCACTGCCACCGAGTTCACTCTGCTCTTACTGGGCAGAATAGAACTGCTCCGTGTTGCTGCTAAGATTGTCAATCCTTATGGAAGCAGAATGCTTCGTCTTCCTCGTGTGCAGTGGCTGGTAGGCTCAAACTGCCTGTCTTTCAGTTAGCCGCCGAGTGCTTTAACCACTGTGTCAACAGTGGAAATTAGTAGAATCTGCCCATGAGTCGTAGAAATATGCACATTGAGCTAGAATGATACAAGTTTTACTCCCACTAGGATGGCTATGGTGGGAAAAGCAAAAATAGCTTATAATGGTGAGGCTGTGGGGAAATTGGAATCCTTATCCATTGTTGATGAGAAAACAAATAAATATGCAGCTGTTGCAGAAAATAGTGTAGCAGTTTCTCCAAAAACTTAAAACTAGAACTACCTCGTGGCCCAGCAATTGCACTTTAAGGCATATGCCCATAGGACCTGAAGGCAGAGACACAAACAGATACCTGTTTACCAGTGTTCATTGCAACACTATTCACTGGAACCAAACAGTGGAAACACCCTCAGTGCCCGTCACTGGATGAAGGAAGGCATAAGTAAAGTGTGGCACACACACGCAATGGAATATTACCCACCCACGAAGATAAGTGAGGGCCTGATACCTATCACACCATGGATGGAGCTTGAAGACATTATGCTGAGTGAATAGCCCATTGCAAAAGGACTTCACATGTAAAAAGGCAAGGATAGGCAAATGGATAGAGACTAGCATGTATTAGTGAGTACCAGCATCTGGAGGGGGCTGTGGAGAAGTGAGTGCTTGCTCATAAAGCACCGAGTCTCTGTTTACAGTTGTGTTAATTATGGCTAGTGTGGTACAGCTGGTTAGTGTAATAGATCTCAGTTGTGCACCTGTGAAACGTTGAATTGGCAAAGTTTGTGTGATAGCTATTATCTTAGTTATCAAGTACTGCTATAGCAGAATTACTTCAGGTGGGTACCTTTCACTAATAAAACCTTATTTTCACACAGGTTAGGAAGTTAGAAGCCTGCACTGGCTCCAGGCTTTCTCTGTTGGCCTGGAAGGAAGGTCCTTGTCTCTTTTGAGCTTTGGCTCCTACTTGTTTTTCTTTGAGCTTGACATCTGTCTCCCCCACCATCTCGGCTTCCCTAATCTGTTCTTTTTACACTTTATAAGAGATTGACTCAGCACACCTTCCACGAATCCTGTCTCATTAAGAACATAACAGAGACCACCTATTCCCCAGTGCTGCTTGCGCACAGCCACACAGCTCAGGGGACTTG